TTCACGTGATTATCACCAGCGGTAATAAACGATCCTTTATTTTTAACCATTTATTATTTTTATAAAATAGAATTTTGAGAAATCGTCATGCTGCTCAAATGTCACGCGACAAAAAACGAAGGCAAATGGCGGATCTTGAATCTCAGAATCTTATACTTAAAGAAGATAATGAGCATTTGTCCAAAAGATTAAAAGTGGTTGAGGAAGAAAATATGAACTTATCTGCAAAGCTTGATGTAATTTCTGCACAATTAGCTGAAATTCAGTCACACTTGGCTGTTTCCACTGTTTCTGAGATGACCAAAGTCCTACTTGACGGTGTTCGCGGATCTGCAGTATCCGCGGCCTTGGAATATGACTCCATTGCATTGAAGGATTATGATAATAATAATGGTAAGGAAGAACATACTAACGACACCAAAATGAACGGCAGTCAGAATGAGATTTTACCAGATTCTTCCTCTAGGTGTTATTTATCCGATGATGCAAGAGAGTTCAATTTTTCTAAGAAGTCCCAGCAGCGGCACGTCAAGATGAGGACCCTTTACGGGATATTGTCACAAATCCATTCTTTACCGACTTTGATGCTTCAACAACAGCTACAAATACAAATAACGAAGCTATTATTGACCTTCTCGATAGTTTTTTGGACTATGACTGGTCAGAGGAAGAATTTTCTTCTGTTGGGCAATCAAATGGTATTTGTTGATGATATTGTCATCTCGGAACTTATTCGCCTTTTAAATGAAAAAAGGCGTTTAACATCCGTAAAGGCTTCGCGTGGTAGTACCTTATCAGGAATGAAACGTGCTCCACGTGACTGGCGTAAATATCCACCATAACATTTAGTGAAAACATTGTTAATTTTAATTTTAATTGAGTCTTGTGGTTTTTTTTAATAATCAATTAGTTTCATTTGTTAATCCTTTTTTTTTTTTAAAAAAAAAAAAGTTGTGGTCTTATTTAAAGTATTTTTAAGTTTTCCCATACTCTTATTATTCAAATTCACTCTGGAAGAATCAAAAAAATTTATTAATTAATTTTCTTCTGTATCGCTGATATTGCGAAAAAATTCATTTAAATAACGTACTAATTATTGTATAAGCGTTCTGGTCAAACATTTATTTTATATTATACTTTTTATTATTTTTATCGATAAGTTGGGTTTGTTAGATTAGATGTAAAATGTTGAATTTGTCAAGAATTTTTTAATAAAATTATTTTTCAAAATTCGAAAATTTTTAATTATAAATTATCAAATAAATAAAATATACAACCTATATTTCTTATTAGTAATATAAATAATCATACCCATATATTTATTGTAACTTGTTACTTTTATTATAACATATCAGTATTTTTTAAGAAATTATTTATTAAAAACCAAATAAAGATTTACTTTAAAAGATTTTTTCAAAATTTTTTTTTTTTAAAATTTTATATAATATCATTTTTTAATTCTATAAAAAATGAAATATTTAAAATTAAAATTGATTAATACAAAAATTATAATATTTTTTATACTTATTAATTATATATAAGAAGAATCCTAAAAAAATCGGATTCTGGAATTTTTTTTGATTTTTTTTCATAAATTAAAATGTAATAAGACCTTATTTTTAGTTAAAAAGTTATTTTCTTAGCAATCTTTCTAACTATTTTTATAAATATTTTATTTTATTATATCATTTCATTTTGATTTTTTTAATTAATTATAATTTATTTAAATAGTATAAATTTCTTTAAATTATTTAAATAATTCAATTTTAAATTAATTTTTAATATTAAAACTTTATTTTTTTGATAATTAAAGTTTTTTTTTAAAAAACAATTAAGTTATTTAAAAATAAATTCATTTATTTAAATTTAAAATAAAATATAATTTTAATTTTTTAAAAAATATTTATAATAATAAATATTAAATCAAAAACTTAAATATAATTTTTTTATATTTTTTAAATATATTTAATTATTAATTAATTTTAAAAATAAAAGTATAAATTTATAAAATATTAATATAATAATATAATTATAAAATATTTTATAATAGTAAATTTTAATCATATACATAAATAAAATCTTAAAAATAAAAATATAAATTTGTAAATATTAATATAATAAATATTTATAATAAAAAATTTATAATCATATATAGAGTACTTAAATACGTATCATATGATTTATAATATTATATAATTTTTGACAAAATTTTATTTCTTAAAATTTATTTAATAAAATTACATATATAAATATTATAATTATTAAATTACATTTATACATATTTTTGCATAATGTTTATATTCTTTATAATTTTTACATTTTTATTTTTTTAGTTATATTATTTTAAATATTATCTTTATATACAATTTACTTTACTTCTATTAGACTTAGACTATTCAATATTTGTTTTAAGTCTTTTTGATAATTGTCTCTCATATTTAATAATAAATAAATTTATAAATTATTAAATATTTTAGATTTTTACTTATTTATCTTAATTTATATATTATAAATAAAATACTATAATATATTTAATAATTTATGATAAATATTAATTTTCAAAATACAATCAATTCTTTTAATTAATTTACTTAATTTTACATAAATAATTTATTTGAATTTTTAACTGATTTCAAAATTATATAAATTATTTTATATTACAAAAAAATAATAAAAATTAACATTTTTTTTTCAAATTCTATATTATTTTTTATTATATACTAGAATAGAAAAATGTTATTATAATAAATTATCTTATTAAATAGTATTCATATACCAGTATATAAATTTTATATATACATTATGTATATGTATATATTAAATATTTTTGTATATATATTACATAACAAAAAATGTGCACAAATAATTATTAAAATAGATATATTATATATAAAAATGGATAAATTATTTATAAAAATGGAAATACTATATATTATATGCATTAATTTTCTATTTTAATACAACTTATACACATGAATTTTGGCTTAAATTTTATATACTGTAGTGATATGATCTGAATAATTTGAAACAATTTACAGATATTTGTTATCTAAATAATTTATCTGGATATCTGTATATATTAAAAAATTTATCTACAGATAATTTACAAATTATCTGCAGATGAAGTTATCTATAGAATATTTATAAAATATTCAAAATTGTAATTAATTTTGACTATTTAATCATTTCAATTGATCTTATCCATTTAATTTTTTTTCCTCTAAAATTTCTGTTTAATTTATTTTTTCTGAAATTATTTATTTATCAACAATGACGGAAATGAAAAAATGAAAACTTAACAATTTTTTTGTTTTTTTTGAAAAACTTTCTTAATTTTTCTTTTCACACAATTTTTTAAAATATATCTTTATTTTTTACTTATTTATCATATTTATTTGTTTTTTGTTTTGTTTTTTTTTTTGAAAATTCTTTCTTAACTCTTCTAAACCTTTACTTTTCTAAACTTTTACTTTTTATTTTTTTCAGAAATTCTTTATTAACTAATCCTTACATAATTTTTTTTAAATTTTTTTTTTTTACCTTTGTTTTTGAAAATTCTTAATTTTTTCTCCACCCAATTTTTTTTAAATTTTTTTTTACTTTTTTATTTCTTTTTTATTTATTTACTTTCTTTTCTTTTTTAAATTTAGAAGTATTCTTTAAGGTAAACCTTCTTTTGTAGGATTCTTTGAGGACTTTTCAAAGATGTTTTTTTTTCTTTTCTTTTTAAGAGTAAACTTTCATTTTTTCAGAAAAGGGTAAGTCATCTTTAGATGGTTATTTTAGAGTAGAATTATTTTTTTATTAACTTTTTCTCTTCTTTTTTTTAGTAATAGATCTTATATTCTTTATATAAGTAAGTCTTCTTTTTAGGGGTTTTGAAATTTCTTTTGAGAGTAGATTTCTTCTTTTTAATAATTTTATTTTCTTTTTTTTAGAAGGAATCTTTCGTTCTTTTCATTTAAGTAAGTTTCTTTCAAATACTTTTAAGGGTGGATTTCTTCTTTTACTAACATTTCTCTTCTTTTTTTATAACAGAACTTTTATTCTCAAGCCTTCTTTTAGGGGTTCTTTGAAGTAAAATTATTCTTTTTATTAATTTCTTTCTTTTTTTTAGTTGTGGATTTTTCGTTCTCTTTATATAGGTAAGCCTTTTTTCAGGATTCTTTGAGAGTACTTTTGAGGAAGGTTTCTTCTTTTTTTAATTGGGTGACAAGTCTTCTTTTAGAAATTCTTTTTTTCTAACTTAATTTCTTCTTTTTTTAGGAGCGGGTCTTTGGATAAGTAATTCTTCTTAGAGGTTCTTTAGTAGTGAATGAGAGAGTTTAATTCATTTTTTAAAGAAAAATCAAGAATAATTAGTTATATTAGTTAGTGATTTTTCTTTTTTACATACAAATATTTAATATATTAATATATTATATTTTAAAATAAAAAAAAATAATGTAATATATATCGAAAAAAAATTAAAATAAAAAATTAAATTGTATAAATTTAAAAAATTGTAAATTATATAATATAATAAAAAATAATTACAGTAAATAATATTTTATTAGAAAACCCATTATAAATCAAAAAATATTATAATTTTAAATTTCTTTTCAAATCTTCTTTTATTCTTATAATAAATTCCTATTTTAATCTTGTATAACCAACCATTAATTTCATTCTTTTCAATATCCCATTTATTCTTATGATTATTTATTAATTGGTAGATAAATATTATCAATAAATGAAACATTTTTTTTTAAAAACATTAAGCGCTTAAATAACTCTAGATTTAAGCATTTTTTTTTTACAGTTAGAAGATTTTTAGCATCACTAAACAACCTTTCACTCAGAGTAGAAGTTGCTAAAACTGGAAGATAAATTTATACTAATTGTGAAAAAAAAGAAAATTGACCTTTATGATCACGTCACTAATAAAATAGATTCATTTCAAAATTTATTTTAAATAAATTCAAATATGTCAAAACTTTATTATTAACTATTTGAGTTTATTATTTTTTAAAAATAGAAAATAATGATGTTTGATAAAGAAAACTTTGTAATAGTATTGATCTTATTTCTGGTAATATTGGTGATAAATTTTCTCCTTTAAGTATATTATATTTATTTTGTAATAATGTTTTTACTTGATCTTTTAAATCTTGATTATTAATAAAAGTAAAGGATTTAATTTTAGGATTAAGTATCGCTGATATTAATGCATCATCTTCTTCAGTATGCCAATAAATTTTTATTGCTTTATATAAATGATATTTAACTTTTTCTAACATTTCATAAGTATCTAAAGAATCGTTAAGATTTAATTTTTGATGTTGATTAATTGTAAAATCAATTTTTTCTCATTAGTTTCTAATATTTCACCTTTATCTATTTTTTCAAAAATATTATCAATATTTTCCAAATCTACATTAGTTTTAAATACTAAATTTAATAGTTTAACACATCTTTCAATCTCTTTTAATAAAGGACTTATAATACTATGTGTGATATATTTACTTACTTCAAAATAAGTAGTAGTTTTCACAAATCCTTTTAATATAAAACGTAAATCAGCTAACAATTCCCATTTTTTTTAGTTAGCATAATTTTAGCAAGTTAATATCCATGTTTTCTTACATCAGAATTGTCATCAATTGGTAAAGTAGCAACTAAAATATCAATATATACAGTCACACCTCGATATAACGAAGTTGCTGATCCAGCCGATCAGGACTTCGTTATAAGAATCTTCGTTAA